GTACGTGCTGAAAAGAAGCTTCCTGTTGATTTTTTTTTTCAATACCAACTTCAATGTAGATATCTTTAGAATGCTCATAAGTTGGCTTAAGTTGTCTAGTGTGACAAGGCCTTTAAGAAGTCTTCTCTGGATACTGTTACAAATTGTTCATCAATTTAGAGTTTATTGAAATTTTTGTAAGATTATATTGTTGCAGAATTGTCTGTCTTCAATTTAAACTGCCTACTGGTCTAAAACTACAATTCACAACAAGTTTTATGTAGTGGTTTTTAGTACAGTCATTGTTTTGTTTTATCAGAAACAGCCACAGTCTTTATTAGTCTCTTATTTTAAGAGAAAATGTAATTAAAACATTTTAGGATAAACATCTCGTTTATTTCATTAATTTCTAAACAAAGGTTGTTCAGCAAAAAACAAAGTAAAAGAAAAATAATTTCTACATTATTTATTCAGTAAAATATGTGGTTTAGAGCATTATTTATCACAGGTTCGGTGATTTCATTTTTRTATTTGTATAATTTAAACAGCTACTGAATTGTTTGCAGACGTATGTGTGTGCATGGGCACTCCTTAAATTTCATTRCTCACATGATAAGATTTTTTTCTTTCTTTAGGCAAGTTGTTTTTACCAGCATGCCTTAGTTATAAAGATAACAGCCTTTTTTTCCACTTATGACTACTTTTATTAGACAAAGTAAACTGTACAAATTGAAAGTTTAAACACAGACAGAAGGAAGAGCCTGTTTGTTGGACATTTACTGGCACTTTTCATTAAATGTACACACACACATTATGTCCGTTTGATTAATGGCTCAGTGTTTTGAAGGTAAATCTGACCCCCACCTGCCCTCCAGTGGGTAGTTGATTTTATTTTTGTTCACCCCTCCGTTTTCCTCTGCCCACCCTTTTTATAGATTCCACGTTCCCATTTTTCCACATTCTCTGAGAAAACACGACTCTTATGTGTTTAGAAGAGAGTRCAGGCCCTATCATGTCTCCTGGACTCGGATTATTATTTAGAGGTTATTTGAGGATGTGTAAAATTCTAAACATTTAAGGTGCATAACATTTATTTGCAGTAAAAAAATAATGTTGGGGAAGTAAGTAAACCGTTAAAGCAGGTCTATGTGAAGAACACCTTGTGGACAACTTGCCACTGTTTTTCACTTCCTCRCTTCTATTTTATTTCACATCTCTTACTGGACAAGTGGAAAATTTCTAAAAGTAACTCAGTTTATTAAGCATATTTTTAAGCACTATATACAGTTGCACATAATAGACATACATGTTCACTGAGGTTAAAGTTTTTTTTCATTTAAATTAGGTTTGATGCATCCCTTTTATACTATTTTTGCTGTGAATCTGTTTTTCTGTTGTTTTTTTTTATTTTTTTACTTGAACAACCTGCTGTAGAAACAGCAATTTAATTAAATCCCGTACAATTGGATTTAACATGACTGAAATGACATTTTGATATTTGTATCCTTTTTAAATTGTTTTTTTTTCTTTAGGTTTTACGATCTTTGTTTTTATTATTTAATGCCAAAATGATCAGTGTAGAGCACGATGAAATGTACACCTCTCATACAGTTTGTAAATCAAATTGTGGACATTTTGTCTTCTCTTCAGTATGTCTCACACTGCTGCAGGACTTACATTTTCCTCTGAAATCCCCCCAGAGCACAGTTTGCACACATCCAAACACTCATTGACTTCCACTGTATCAGAGCTCAGAATTGCCTCCTCTTTTTTATTTTTCCCTTTATAAAACAACGTAAAGATGTAAGAACTGATGTGTGAAAGTCAGATGTTTCATTTCAYTATGATAATTTTCACACAGCAGGCTCTTAACTCTTTCTTTCTGCCTATCAGAGAAGGAAGTYAAGTTGGAGTTTCCAACAGTAGCTGTATCGACACCCTTTACAGTCTGGGGTTAGTTAATAGTTGAACCTGTCGAGGGGAAAAAAGTTGCAGGTCCCCTCAAAAATATTCACATGCCGTGAGAGAATGTTCAACTTCAGTTCACCTCGGCAAACTAAAACTAAATCCAACTGAGGCTTAAAATACCATTTAGTTAACCTTTTTGTCTACAAAGTGATGTGTGTACATGAACTATGTACAACAGCACACACTGGTTCAGGCACTTGGAGCCTCATGATGCAGCACATTCATCATGACAAAATAACATAAACACAAGGGAAATCAATCATCGAAGATGTACTTGACAGAAAGCCAAAACACGGGAGTGTTATCTCCTTAAATGTTACCGCCAAGCTAAAATGTGCATCTTTATATGAATCAATACTTTTATTCTCTTTTAGGACAAATTCTGAGCAGATTTTTAACAGTTTTGTGATAACTCTTTGTGCTTAGTCCTTTATAAACTCATGAACATTTTTAAACAACTTGAAATGTGAGGTCATAGTTTAATCTTTAACAGGAACAGCCAAAGGTTGAATGTCTCCAGTGTGTTTTTGTTTTCAGTTTCATTAAAGGCTGAGAAATAAAAGGTTTTTCTTGGTCAGCGTTAAGGTTTTGAAGTTTTTGGATTCATTCATGTTTTTAGTATTAATATGTTTAATAAGGGTGCAGAAAGTCTTTTTCACAAATTCTGGAAGGAATTTTGTTAGGTTGAGTTTCTGCTTTTTGGATTTAGGGTATAAGCTAATGTGTTTTTTGGGATAGATGTGCTGGAGTGGTTAGAGGAGTCATTCCATTGGTTGCTGGTTCGATCCCCCRTTTCAGCTGTCTCCGTCRTTGTGTCCTTGGGCAAGACACTTCACCCRYCTTGCCTACTGATRGTRGTCAGAGGGTTYGGTGGCGTCGGTRCATGGCAGCCCCGCCTCTGTCACTGTGCCCCAGGGCAGCTGTGGCTACAATGTAGCTTACCACCATGGGTGAMTGGTTTCTTTTGCTCATGCAACAAAACAACTATGTGACAGCGCTGTTAACACATTGAGCATTTGAGGGTTTTTATTCATGATTGTTCATTTGCTGCTCTCTAAAGCTCCAKAAAAGGAAAGGTCTTTTTAAATTGTTTTATTTTTAAAGCAAGACATTTTACTCAACATCTTTCTAAAAAATAACCAAGACAYAGCTTGAAATACAAATTTCATTGCAGGTCCTGTGAAGCAGCAGTGCTGTCTGCCTCATGGAGGCCTCAGGATTAGGGCTGAGCATTACATCAAAAATTTATCGTCATCGCGATGACTGCCTGTTCAGTAGGCATATCACAAAAAACTACATGAAAGCGCCCACTGCAAAGCAGGAGAAGAGAGAGGAAAAAGTTCAAAACTTATTTTTAGCGACAGAACAGGTAGGAAGATGGCTATTTGATGTCATTTATTGGTTTTTAAATCATCCTACAGGCTCTGACATGTTAGATAAATTTGAAAACGAGGTTTTGAAAAAATCTGCGAGATTGCTCTATACATCCGTTTACCTGCAAAATGACATAAAATCCTTATAACTTACGGACAATCCGTACAAGTTGGCATGTATGGACAGAAGCTNCTTAATTAAAAATCGATACAGGGCTTTAGAATATCGGTACAGTTTCGGGAAATGAAATATCGCGATATTTCAGTGTATCGATATTTTCTTACACCCCTAGTGTTGTCTGCCTCATGGAGGCCTCAGGATTAGGGCTGTGCATTGCATCAAAAATGTATCGTCATCGCGATGACCGCCTGTTCAGTAGGCATATCACAAAAAACTACATGAAAGCGCCCGCTGCGAAGCAGAAGAGAGAGGAAAAAGTTCAAAACTTATTTTTAGCGACAGAACAGGTAGGAAGATGGCTATTTGATGATGTTTATTGTTTTTTTAAATCATCCTACAGGCTCTGACATGTTAGATAAATTTGAAAATGAGGTTTAGAAAAAAATCTGTGAGATTGCTCTATACATCCGTTTACCTGCAAAATGACATAAAATCCTTATAACTTACGGACAATCCGTACAAGTTGGCATGTATGGACAGAAGCTTGAAGTATTTCACAAATCAAATGGAACCCTTCACTTATTTGGCCAATTGGATGGATCTCTTCATATATATATTTTTTAAGTCATGCTGGAATGAAAATGATTAGTTTTTTTGTTTTAATGCTCTGAACCCAGAGCAGAAAGACTTGAACAATACMTACTTATGTATTTGTTCATTTGTCACAAGTCATACRGTATCTTCAATGCAATATTAAGCACTATATCGTGCAGCCCTACTCAGGATTCCAACTCTTCTATTTGCAGATGATGTTTTGTTGTTGGACATCGTGTCATGACCTTCAGCKCTCACTGGAGSAGTTCGTAGCTGAGTGTGTGAAAGGGCTGGGATGAGTATTGGCACCTCCAAATCTGAGTCCATGGTCCTCAGTTGGAAAAAGAGACTGCTCTCTTCAGATTGGGAGGGAGATGCTGCCTCACATGGAGGAGTTCAAGTTTCTCTAGTTYACGAGTGAGGGAAGAATGGAGCGTGAGATGGACAGATGGGTTGGTGCAGCTTCCTCAGTACTGCGGACCGGTCCTGATGGTGGAGTCTGCAGTATAGAGGTGGCTGTGGAAAGAAATGTCTGGGCCTCACTGCTTCAAGCTGCTGTCCCCATGACTCATCCGAAATAAGAGAAAGTGGATGGATGGATGCATGGATTGTAGCAAAAATTATTTTCAGACCTTCCCAAGGAAACTGATAGCATATTGTCAGATCATGTGGAGAGGAATACTCAACAAAACTGTTATCTGATCATAATTCTGTTTATTTAAAAGAGTAAATGACTTCTGCCACAACACAAACAGTATACAAAATGAGAATTATTATTTTTTAAATGACAGTCGTTATGGCTTTATTTTTCTTGCTTTCTTKCTTTTTTGTGTGTGCTGCATTGAAGAGTTTCTTTGTAATCCTATCTGATGAAGCCATGTGAAGCTCTTCCTCTTCGTTCTAAGTGCAGAACTTGAGTAATGCAAATACAATCTGAAATCCTAATCGACAGTTTGGTTTTCTAGGAGGACTGGGTGAAAGGTCATCATGGCACCTTTTCTTCGTATCGCCCTGAATACTGCCGAAACTGGCGCCCTGCCCACAACGACAACTCCTCTCATCTGTGCCGTCAAGATGAAGGAGACTATCACCACAGGTATGCACAACTACTGTATATGCTTGCAATTATACAATTGTAGTTTTGTAAAAGTGAAGATGCCAGATTATTGAAGTTTATTGACCTGAGCAGTCGGACATTTCCAGAAGCTTTGTGCTGCAATACATTTGTTTCCCTCCTTAATGGGGATTCTTTTCATTTTTTGACAGAGCGAGGGAAGACCCTGGTGCAGAGGAAGCCCACCATGTATCCTCCTTGGAAGTCCACTTTTGATTCTCACATCCACGAGGGACGTGTCATCGAAATAGTTCTAATGCAAAGCACCGAGGAGCCGCTGGCCAAAGCCACTCTGGGTGTGTCGGTGCTCGAAGAGCGCTGTAAGAAGTCTAAAAATGGTAGCTTCACTGAGTTCTGGGTGGATCTTCATCCTTCAGGGAGGATTCAGATCMGTGTGCAGCTGTTCCTGGAGAACGGTGATTCAAATGAAAAAGGTAACGTCGCACATGATTAACTCTAAATCTTTGGCTAAAAGAGTTTAGACTGTTAACATAGATATCACCTCATGTATAGAGTCCCACGTAAATAATATATATTGAGTAATATGGAAAAAGGACAATTAACTTATTAGGTACCCAAGTTTTACCAGCTGAGCAAATCCATAAGGAAGAGTTTTCTGCCACATTATATAACAAAGAAAAATGTTAATAAACAAAAAGATGTTTGTTCCCTGACCGGGAATCGAACCCGGGCCGCGGCGGTGAGAGCGCCGAATCCTAACCACTAGACCACCAGGGAGCTGTGCTGAGACAGAAAGGAGCTAGTGTCAGTGCTACAGCTGGTCCCCTTTCTGTTTTGGTTTCACATGTCCACCTGCTGAGTTGTTACATATCGCCCTCTACTGGCAGAAATGCCTCCTTAGAGACGTGTCCAAGTCTGTTTTTTAATCCACAACAGTTGAACAAGCTCATTAGTGTTTGTCTGGGTGCGGATTGTAGTGCTGATATAATCCCTGCCCTGTAAATAAACGTCTGCAGGCTGGTTTTATATTTCACATTGCACTGGTCGGCTGACATTAGGTGTGACGAAATGATGCATCACAAAAACTCTGTTGGTCAGTTAATGTTTTTAACATTTGTACAAAGAGGTACAATTATACATTTCTTCAGATACAAAATAAGTAGGATTTAAATAGTATTTTAGATTACATAAACATGTAAAATATTTATTGTTTTTTATTTCTTTGAGAAATTTGACATGCTTAAAGCACGGGTTGAAATATATTTTTAGCAGCAAATTGYCCATTTGCAGCTTGTTTTATAACAAGTAGCAATTATTTGTATGATTGATATATTTTTAATTTCCCTTCAGCTGTTAGAGATAAAGAAGAGCAGCACGAGGCGGTAAAATTAGTTGCCAGCTTTGCCACTCGGACACACCAGCCTGTGATAGTCACAGCGGCAGAGATGTCCCTGGGATAGCTCTGAACTGGTTTTGTGTAATTGGTGTCTCTGTGTGGGCTGAGCACAGWTGGGGGGTCTCTGATCAGGGATGGAGAAAGCCACTATTATAAAACAACTTCATACTCCATCATCTCCCTCCCACACACTCCACAGGTTCCCTGAAAAGAAGCCTGGGGTATTTTTAGGTTTGTGTGAAACAGTCAGCCTCCTCTGTCTGTCTTTTTGTCTCCCTCTGTGTTTTTTTGGCCTGGCTCACTGACTCGCTCTCCAAACACAAGCATCTGATAGCATAATGCCAGAGTTTTTGTCATCTTTGTTTACTTCCTTTGTGAAGTGTCAGTGGTTGTTTTCTCTGAGCGACTTTTGACCCCTTAAATAATAACTTGCTGTAGTATTTAGCTGCTTGTTTAAACTATTCCTTCTCAAGCTCATAAATCTTTTTGATTTTGATGAATTCATAAAAATTGTACAATTCCAATTGTAACAATTGAACAAATAGGGGAAAAAAGTCATAAATAACCACCGTAGATCCTTTGAAATCAGTGAAAACTTACTAGAAAAAATAATTTCCAGTATTATACATTGATCAAAATAGAAATCCAGTGATCTTATTTGTGAACTGATCTCATCTCTCAGCGGCATCAGTGAAGTCTATTCCTGAAGATGGAATCACAACCCTCAACAGGAGGAGAGGAGCTATCAAACAGCCAAGGATTCATGTCATCAAGGACCACGAGTTCACCGCCACCTTCTTTGGCCAGCCCACCTTCTGCTCCGTCTGCAAAGAATTCCTCTGGTGAGCTGCAGAAATCTGGCTCTTGTTTCACACCAGCTGTCAGAAAAATCATCATGTTGGTCTGAACCTTAACTTTCATTGTGGTTTGACTTTTGGTTGAATCTCATGACGGAGAGTATCTCTTTAAATGTACTCTGACCTGTCATGAAAATGAGTTTGCCTGCCTGCTCGTCTCTAAGCAATGCAGCTTCACTTATTAAGATACAGCTGGAAGGCTGCCATAGTGAGAATGAGTCAGTGTCTAGTCAAATCCCAACAGGCCGTCACGTCATCCTCAAACTTTGGCAGCAACACCAATYTGTGAGCCGGTGTTTTTCCCTACCTCTCCAAACTGCAATATTTTTTATTCCTTCAGAGTCAGGCAGGAAGAAATTTRGTGTTTACCTGCTGCATAAAGTAAACATTTTGTTTTCCACACCAACAAACGTGCAGCTTTATCATAAGCAAAAATCTCTTGCATGTTAATCATTTTAAGCCCCCTTTTTCTAACATTGAAATATATCTTCATGCATGTTTTCTTTATGTCTYAAATACTGACATTTGCCCTTTTTATTCATGTAGGGGACTCAACAAGCAAGGTTACAAATGCAGACGTAAGTGTTTGTTCTAGCTAATCTCGTTTGTTATTTGTAGCTTTGAATTTGCCCACACAACCCAGCTAACTCAGTGTCTCGCTTTTCGGTTCACCCAGAATGCAACGCCGCGATCCACAAAAAATGCATCGAAATGATTATCGGCAGATGCACTGGAACAGCCAAAAACAGCCGTGACACGATGGTGAGCGAAGTTAACGTCAACATGAAGCCGAAGCGTCAGCCTCATTGCTAACGTCAGAGAAGGCTGATGTGTTATCACTATTTGCTTTTTCCTTCATTTGTTTCAATGATGACTCTACAAATCCTCTGTTTATTTATTCAATTAGTGAAAATGTTTGCTTAATGTTTCCCTTATTGAGTTTCGTTTTACCTTTCCCCCAAAAGCAGCCAAAAACCTTTCATTCCCATGAGTTTTTAACTGATTCCTGTGTTTTGTAGTTCCAAAAGGAGCGTTTCAAAGTTGACGTGCCACATCGCTTCAAGACTTACAACTACAAAAGCCCCACATTCTGTGACCACTGTGGCAGCCTGCTGTGGGGTCTCTACAAGCAGGGGCTTAAATGTGAAGGTGAATTTTTAAACAAGGTTCTTATCATGCAAGCCCAAAAATATTTATTTGTCCTCCTCTTGCCCTCTGCCACAAGTCTAACATTATCTTCTAATGTTGTTTCCCATCTCTGCCTGGTTCTTCATGCTGCCGACTAGAATGCGCCCTGAATGTTCATAGTTACTGTCAATTTAAAGTGGGCAATCTGTGTGGAGTCAACCAGAAAATGCTGGCAGAAATCTTGGCTCAAATCGCCCAGGTTGGTACAGCAGTGTGCTTTGTATTTTGCTTTACAATGAATGTTTATGTATGCTTCATACTTAAAGAGATCCATGATTAGTTGTATGTTGTAGACTTTATTTAATAAACATATATTTTAACTGTAAAATAAAGTGTAAAAATACTGGGCTGTTTACTGTTGTAATTTTTTAAAATATATTTTAA